AGGGTCAGGTAGGTACCTGTGAGGTTAGTTTAGGGTCAGGTAGGTACCTGTGAGGTTAGTTTAGGGTCAGATAACCCAGGTTAGCCTTAGGGTTTGTGGTCAGGGTTAGGCTGTAGAAATGTAAAGGAAGTCAATGGAAAGTTGTCATCACAAGGATAGAGAGACATAGTAGGTGTGTGGGTGGGTTGGGGGGCATTTCAGTCATTTGTGTTTTTTTTTTTAATAAAAGTGCTTCATTATTGATAAAATGTTGAACTAAAATGTAGTCTTTAGTACTTGAAACCGGCCTTGGTCTTAAACCGGTCTCAAGACCACTTTTTGATGGTCTTGGTCTTTTCTCAGACTCGACAGCATTTGTACTCGGTCTTGTCTCGGACATCGAGGACTCAGAATTTTATTTCAAGACCAGTCAAGACCACAACTGTGGAAATATCGTTAAACAGCCAGATAATTGTCCATTTTATTAGTTAACATTCTTGTTTTCATTGGATTTAAAATGTAGTTACTGATTCAAATCCAAACCCGACTCATTATTTATGTATTTCTGTTAGCGGCTGTCACCCCTCCCCAGTGTCTTCACTCACATTCACTCCAGGAAAGTAAGCAGTGGTTCTCAGGGAACGGTAAAGGATGACTTCAAAATTTAAGTGTAAAATTTGGCTACATTAGTCATAAATAATATTATTGTAAAACAACAACAAGCAGGAGAAAGCAAACAGTAACGTACATTCAGCAGTGCTTCACTTTCAGAGACAGTGGGGAAAATGTCAAACTTATATCGTCACCAACGTTAATCTTCCTCTGTAGCAAAACTCTTTCCTCTGCCCTCACACATTTTGTTAATATTAGCTCTACATATTAAGTTAACTAAAGTGGGGGGAAAGTATTTAGTTCAAGTTCTCCCACTTAAAAAGATGAGAGGCCTGTGATTGACATCATAGTTAGACCTCAACTATGAGATACTAAATACTTTACCCCCACTGTGCATGTGTACAGAATACTGCATCTTTTAGGAAACATTTTTTAATCTGGTCTCGGTCTTGTCTCGGTCTCGCCCTCCCTTGGTCTTGGTCTCGACTTGGTCCAAACCCTAAAAGTCTTGGTCTTGTCTCGGTCTCGCCCTCCCTTGGTCTTGGTCTCGTCTTGGTCCAAACCCTAAAAGTCTTGGTCTTGTCTCGGTCTCGAGACACTGTGGTCTTGGTCTCGAGACACTGTGGTCTTGGTCTTGACTTGGTCTCGGGTTAGGTGGTCTTGACTACAACACTACTAAAATGATATTGTGTTATTAGTGTAGAGCCTGCACTTAGCTGCCACTGGACAAGCATGTTTCTGTCAAATTACTTTCATCTTTTGTTCTTCACAGATTTGGACCTTATTTTGATGCCTCCACCCTGGCGGAGGCTGCTGTTCCCTGGTTGTCATTTCTGTGGCTCCTTTAGTTTTAAAACAGTCGGCGTGTGTCAACACACACATGATATTAAACTTTAACAGTGAAATGAGCTGAAGGGATTCAGATGAATCAGTTTTTATAGATAATGTCTTAGTTTTGTTGAACAGACTGTAGGTAATATTTTTTTATTGTCCTGGTCAAAATGATAAGATGAAACTTTTAACACTCTGAGTCTGACTCAGTTAAACAGGTTTTTATATAAAACACATATTTATCAGTAAATCCTAAGGTTTTTTTTACTGTTAAACCTGAGCTTATTCAGGAAGGTTTAATAACATCTTTGAACACAGGAACTGTCAAACCTTATTTCGTCTTCCCTTGAGTTAATTCACACTGTTATATATCTGCTTTATGTAAGTGAGACAGTGTAAAACAGTGTTTCTATAGAAGCAGAACCAGGTCACATGTTGCTGCTCAGGTCTGCACTGAAACTTTCTTTAATTAATCTGTTTTGTGGAACTTATTATCTGTCGCTGCTTGATTCTAACAGAGACATGTCTGCGGTCCAATACATGGACAGAAATTGTATTTAATGAATTTAATGCCTTAAAGGCAATTTATTATCTTTGATTTGTATGTATCGTTTGAAATATTTCTTTCTTAATAATCTAGATTTTACATTACAATTTATGAAAAAGCAAATGATTAATCTACCAAAAGAAATGTAAAAAATGATTTGTACATTGTTATTTTTTGACAGTAAACCTTTATTCTGTTGTAATAAAAAGATCTGTATTTCACTTCATGATAGTTGGACTTGTTGTTGATGCAGTTCCACATGTAGCCACACGGTGGCGCTGCAGGATCACTGCATTAGTCAGGTATTGCTACTAGAAAATGGCACAGCTAGAGACCCTCATTATCCTGCCACCCAGCATAAACAGCACCCAACATCAGAGCTGAAGACCTGTTTCATTCCATACTTTTCACATTTAACAGTAAACTAAAGCAGACTCAAACATAAAGACAAAACAAGAAAACTGTGTGTTCTTGACAATCTTTAATAGTTTATGTTGCCACAAGGTTTTAAATAGACTTTTGCGTAGAAATGTGTACTTTGAAATATAGATCATCAGAGCTTATACAGTGTTTTCATGTCACACAGTAGTTTTCTTCTTGTTTTGTTTTTCTACAACAAACAGCAGCAGCTTTTCTGTTTTTAATCTGCAGGGATTTAAAGTGCTGAGGTGGATGAAAGTGACCTTTACGTGATAATGAGCATTTTACACACAAATACTAATAATCTAGCTTACATTTACAGGTATCATGACTCATTGTTTTCACTGCACTCCACATTTCTGAAAAAAGAAACCTTTATGAACAGTTCCAAAGTTTATTGTGGTTTTTATCAATTTTAATTTGTGGCACTGTATTTAGATTCTAATGAAAAACTAAAACCCAGTCCAGCAGATCCACTTCTATCGCCTCTAACTGCACGTACAGAAATTGCACAACTCATCTGTCTTTTTTCACTGACATGGAAGAGTAATTAGAGGTACCTGAATACAGCCCTTATAAGTAAGAAATATGAGAAAAACCTTTAAATAAACCAACAATACTTAGAACTAAATAGCTATTTTTTAAATATCTTGCACTACAAAAGAAAAAAGCAAGAACATGTCATGCACTGCAACATCATATTGTACACAAAATACAAAAGATTTATTATAAATACAGACGAAGACGGGTTGGTTGCATTTATAATGTGTTAGGGCAGAAAAGGTTCAATACAAAAATACATTAAAAAAAACATCACAAGAAAAAAGCCTGCATTGCTTTGGCTCGTAAAAGAGTTTTTGTCTCCTTAAAGCAGTAAATTTCAACATGTTGTAAAACACTGAGTACTAGAAAAAAGGAAGACAGGAAACAGCTACAACTGAGAGAATCAATAAACCTTTTCCTTTTTCACAAATTACCAAAATACAAGAAGTGTTCAAAGTTTTGTTAACTTTAAAGTGTTAATATAGGGACTTTTGAATAGATGTTCCATCAGGTGGTTCTAGAGCTTTAACAGCTGTGACATCAGATGAAGGAAAGGACAGAAACACTTCAAGCTAAGTTAAGCACCAACACGTCTGCTCAGCTTGAACTTCTGTTCTTTTCTCCAACATGACTGCTACATGACCTCTTCATGACTGCTACATGACCTCTTCATGACCGCTACATGACCTCTTCATGACTGCTACATGACTGCTACATGACTGCTACATGACCTCTTCATGACTGCTACATGACCTCTTCATGACCTCTTCATGACCTCTTCATGACTGCTACATGACCACTACATGACTGCTACATGACCTCTTCATGACCTCTTCATGACCTCTTCATGACTGCTACATGACCTCTTCATGACCTCTTCATGACTGCTACATGACCTCTTCATGACTGCTACATGACCTCTTCATGACCGCTACATGACCTCTTCATGACTGCTACATGACTGCTACATGACTGCTACATGACCTCTTCATGACTGCTACATGACCTCTTCATGACTGCTACATGACCTCTTCATGTCTGCTACATGACCTCTTCATGACCACTACATGACCTCTTCATGACTGCTACATGACTGCTTCATGACCACTACATGACTGCTACATGACTGCTACATGACTGCTACATGACCTCTTCATGACTGCTACATGACCTCTTCATGACTGCT